TACGGCTGGGACTCATCTGAGCCACCCACCTGTGCTACCCCCCTCCCCTCCTTTCCTCCCCCTCTGCTTCCAGATAAACACTCGTCTTCCACATACAATACTCTCCTACACTTATTTGTTCATATTTTTATCTTTATAGTACTGTACACTATACAGTTTTCTCTTTATTCATAAGACGAATTCTGTGGTTGCCCACATATATGACACTTTACAGTAAATAACAATCATCTTGGTGTGAACAGTTGTTGACAACCAGACTTAAGTGTGAATTTCATCCCAGAGAGTTCTGTTTCATATTTTTTATATTATTGATGTAATATTCTTTTAATAACCTTGTTATACACTTCAAGACCATAGTTATTGAAGTGCAGTAATAACATAACAACAAATGACTTTCTTTAAACAGTTCAGATAAACAGTTTTAGCTCCACCCTCCCCCCACTCAATTTGTCTGATTTATCGAGGTACTGTACTACTACTGTATATGCCAGATGCTGTCCCGGCTTGACACAACCAGTCTCCCTGCTTACCTACCAGCCTCCTTTCCCACTGACTTAGTGGAAGAATTTGAAGAAGCAAAACGTCTGGACAAACTGAAGTTAAAGCGCTCCACCACCCCCATTGACTTACCAATGAAACTTTACAAGGAGTGCTCCCCAGAACAAGCTAACCCCCTCTGCTCCATCATCAATGCTTCCCTCAGCCAAGCAAGATGCCCAGCTGATAGGAAGACCTCATATGTGTCACCAGTGCCCAAAGTCAACCAGCCCACAAACTTTAAATGAGCTACGACCCATCACCATCATCCCAATACCCAGCTTAATCTGGGAAAGTTTTGTTTTTGACTGAGCTTATTGCAGGAACCATAGATCCTCAGCAATTTGGCAATGTGAAAACTTCCTCCACCACTCACTGTCTTTTCAGCTTTCTCGACTACATATACCGTCATCTGGAAAAAACGAAAGACAACTGTGGCTGTTGCCTTCATTGACTTCACCAAAGCATTTGACCTAGTCGACTACAATTTAATCATCAACAAAGCTATTGACCTCTGGTTTCGAAGAAGTCTTTTACCATGACTTACAGACTTCCTTAGTGACTGACTCCAAGCCATACACTTCCGATGGGCAGTCTTCACTTTTCAGTCACTCGCCTGTGGCGTCCCCCAAGGCATCAAGATGGGACCACTCTGCTTCCTCATGTTTATCATTGATTCGCTAAGAGAAACCTCTGCTTGCTGGAAATATGTCGACGACTCGACCCTTGGGATCAGTGTGAACAACTTGGCTTCCAACTACACTGCCCTCCAGGGTATATTGAACAGTCTCCAAAATTGGGCCACCAACAACCATGTCACCATCAACCATACCAAGACCATGGTTATGCACATCAACCTCTTCTCCGATCTTGCCCCACGTCCCTCCATTACTGTAGGCCCCAACACACTCCAGGTTGTGGACTCCACTAAGCTCCTCAGCATCACTATAGATAACACACTAAATTGGAAAACACAAGTCCAGTTGTCAAATCATCCAGTTTTCATCTCCTCCGCTGACTCAAGTTTCCTCGGAGTTCCTGCACCCATGCTTCTCAGTGCTTACTCAACATTCATACTTCCCAAGTTCACCTATGCCTTCCCTGCCTGGTCTTCCTTAATTCCCACACAATGGAAACACCTATAAAAAGTGCAGAAGAGGGACTGCAAGATTATTCTCTCCTCTTCCTACTCCACATATCAAGAAGCGCTCAACACACACTCTCTCAGCTCTCTCTGACCATCACCACGACCTCAACTGCAAATTTGGTGAGAAGCTTCGGCATCATCCACGATGTAGGTTATGTATCTAAGCTACTGTGTCGAGTAGCAACCTTGTATATAAGCTACTGTGCCGAGTAGCATCTATGTATGTAATTACGTGGCAACACTGCACGTGTTATGTGGCAATATTGCCTCGAGGCTGCCTTTTGGCAATGCAGCCTCAGTCTGACTCCATGGGTCGTGCATGGCACACGCTGATCACTACTTGTATCTCTCATATCCGTTAATAAATGGACTTCAGTGTTACCCGGTGTTTCCCTACCTATCACTGCCTTCTTCAGGGAACACTTGGAACCTTCATGGCGCAGTGAGTAGGATTTGTGGACTTACAAGTGTCGTGAACAATGCCGACGGTTACATGAAGGTTCCAAGTGTTCCCTGAAGAAGGCAGTGATGGGTAGGGAAACACCGGGTAACACTGAAGTCCATTTATTAATGGATATGAGAGATACAAGTAGTGATCAGCGTGTGCCATGCACGACCCACGGAGTCAGACTGAGGCTGCATTGCCATATGGCAGCCTCGAGGCAATGTTGCCACATAACACGTGCAGTGTTGCCACGTAATTACATACATAGATGCTACTCGGCACAGTAGCTTATATACAAGGTTGCTACTCTGCACAGTAGCTTAGATACATAACCTACACACGACACCAGCTCATACTCCCACCTGAGATCCCTCGTCCATGAATTGCTGTTTGACACCACAACCGCATCCAGCCCATACGAGCACGCACTGATTGCAATAAGAACAGCCCAATCCCAACCATTGTAAAAATTATCAACAACTTGTAATCACCAGTGTGTTCAAACTCAGCCAATCTTTATTTTTTGCACTGTTACTGTGCTGAAATGCCCTGTAGTACAACCTTCTCCCCATCTAGTTATTATATGTCATATTTGTATCACTTATGTCACTTGTATATTTTTGTCAATCAAGAGACCCATTCCCCAATTATGTAACTATATTTTCAGCCTTCTGGCTGCCATGCTCTTTCAATAAACCATTAATTATTATTATTACTGTATTACATTCTGTCCAAGAGTAAATGTAAAAAGCATGTAACTGGTGACAGTTAGATGTGTAAAACTGCAAATAACTGCACAGTTTCTATGAGATTTATTTTCTTTTATGTACTGTTGATCCAAAGTTTAGGCACCCTCCACAATATTTACAATGATAAATGTAGTCCAGAGCCTACAAAAGGTTGGGGACCACTGAGTAAAGACTTGGGCCCGAATTCAGAACCATGCTTTAAGCCTCGTATTTGAGCTCGGCTCAGGCGTGTGAATCGGGATTCCTCGATCCGAGATTTCCTGCATTGGACTACCCATATTCAGAACATTGGCTTGGACCCTGGATTGGGTAATCTGTTGCATTTTCTTCAATTCTGAGCAAGGATTCGAACACTGAAATTCCAGCCAATGACGTTTCATTTACACCATTACGACAGCCAATCACCATCGAGAATAATGTTTACAAGATTATGGACGGCAACTATGACTCAACGAGTTTTTATGAAGGAGGAGAAATCAGTCCTTGCACATCAAAAGTTACTTTCGTTACTATATTTACAATCAAATTATTATGATTTCTGGTACTGTTACAGTGTGGTTGTATTGTTATATAACAAAGAAATTCATAGAGGAAGAACAATTACATACAAATTGTAGATATAATCCGGGACAGGTGTCAATATTTATAACCAAAGCAAGATGAATCAATGCAAGGTGCAGTAACCTGGCTAGGTTCAGTTTGGTTAGGTTAGCTTTCTTTCTGTTCTTTTTCCACACATTTCCCCTGATTAGTAATGTTAAGAAAAGACTTTACTTTATTAATACATTAAAATCAAAATGCACTCAGCATTGATTCAATTACTGTATATTGAAGATACATCAAAATAGTTAAAAAAAAAAAAACGCTCAAAATAAAGAAACGTCAGCGTTCTTTACATTTACCCGCTTGATCTTCATGGAGCCTAAACACGAAAGTGTTGTAACACATTACCATAACTCATTCAGTAACCAGAATCTCTCTTACTTGGAAAATATTCGTTGCAAAGAATCTCTAAGCAATCATCAACTGATGAATGGGAGGTAGAGGTGAACCATGGCCAACAGGTCTGTCAAGTAGATGCTCCATATCACGGAAAATATCAAGGAAATCTCCCTTGCTGAACGTATATCATTGTCTGAATTGCACGTCATCATAAAAATTGATAGGATTCTGCCTATCTACCATCAACCTTCTCTCGACAAAATTTCTAATTTGACGATTTCACCGAAAAGCGCACTGTCAAAATTCATGTTGACTTGCTATCTTGAATGACGGATCGACCACTAAACCTGCCTCCAGGCTGGATTAATGCGAGGATTGACAAATCTAATCTCAAATCTGGTTTGAATCTTTGTGTTGGCTCAAGCCAGCATTCTGAATACCAATAATCTTCAATCTTCTCTCGATCCTTGGTTTAAACCTTCATGCGGTTTCAAACCAGCACTCTGAATTCGGGCATTACTGTTTGCAAGAAAACATTGTCCATCACCATAATGTATACTGTAGTCAAGCTTTGCACATCTCATGGGCATTGGTAGGCTCTCCCTGGAATGTATTTTGTAGTGTTCTATACGATACGTATTGCAATTCACTGGCTTGTCTTCTTGGTCTTAAATTGGGATACAGTACCTCAGTGTTTTTTTGTTTTTTCCAGATAATTAGCAAAGATGAGTGAACAGTATCGTGGGAAGATAATTGTTGCACCAATGGTAAGGGTATGTACCCTGCCATACAGATTATTAACAATTGACTATGGTACTGATTTAGTATACACAGAGGAGACTATTGACTTTAAGATGCTTCGCTCCACCAAGAGGGAAAATAGTAAGTATAACATGGTTTTAAGATTTTCTTTAGCCATATGCTTAGTACAGTATATTTGTGACTTTGATTTAATTGTTCATATACAGTGCAATACTATACATTTTTTAATACTTGATTTTATGGTTATTATTGATACAGTATCATTTTCTCTTTATTTCTTCAAGAATCTCTTCATTTCTCTTTTCTAGATTTTCCTCCATAATCCAGTACATGTCATATGTTACACAGGTAGAACAAATATGAAATTTGAAGATACAGTAGACCCTTGTCAGCTGCAGATTTCCCATCCACTGATTCCATGTACTGTATCCACGGTTTGCACTCTATACAGTACAATGTACAGTATAGTCTGCATTTACGCGGTCAATTGAGCCCGTGGAGGTCCGCATAAAACGAGAAACGCGTAAATGAAATAGCAGAACATATGGGATTAATTGAAATAGAGACTGGGCCGACCCCCAAACTCCACTTTTTCCGACACAATACCTACATTGTAGTAAAAATAACATCTTAATTTTATGATGGTATGCACACACAATTAATATTTAAGAGAAATACAGTTGCCCGGTTAATGTCCATTCAAATAATGGACTCAGCTCCCCCCCTTCTTCCCGGCTGCATTTGACCTGCCTCTCTGAAATGTTTGGGGAAAAACATTATATTTACATATTTAGTAATAAATAATACCTCAGACTAAAGTTAGGATAATAGATTTGACATTGCTGGATTCCTTGCAGGACAGGGAATATTTTGAATATAAACTTCATATATTTTGCACAAAATAATTTTTTTTTTGCTCTTTCTAATGAAATTCTTAAATTAGATCGAAAATTTGTATGTCTAATGCAAATTTTAGGATGTTTATATTTAAAATGATCACCATCTTGTAAGAATTCCAATAATGGAAATTATATTCTGGCCGGGTAATTTGTATGAATTTTATGAGTTAAAAAGAAATTTCATCAGTAAATAAACAAATTATACTTCACCCAGACACTATCTGTCAATCAAAATACCCCACTTCCCGCTCTCCCCTCTTCCCACACTAGCTGGGTCCCTCCCTCCCTACCAGAGAAATTTTGGGGGAAAACAGTATATTTACATTTTTAGTAATAAATAATACCTCAGACTAAAGTTAGGATAATATAATTGACGATGCTGGATTCCTTGCAGGACAGGGTAATATTTTGAATGCAAACGTCATTTATTTTGCGCAAAAGATAAAATTTTTGCTCATGCTAATAAAATTCTTAAATTAGATCTAAAATTTGTATGTCTAATGCAAATTTTAGGATGTTTATATTTAAAATGATCACTATCTTGTAAGGATTCCAGCAATGTATATTATATATTTTATGAGCTACAAACATATATATCTTCAGCAAATAAACAAATTATACTTCACCTGCGTAAATGATGAAATTTACCACGTAATTTAAAACATTTCATTCTGGCAAGGTGTCGCGTAAATGACCAAACGCGTAACCAAAAACCGCGTAAATCCAGACTATATATATATATATATATATATATATATATATATATATATATATATATATATATATATATATATATATATATATATATATATATATATATATATATACACACACACACACACAGTCGGCCCTTAACATACGCGGGAGTTACGGAACAGAGATACCCGTGAATGTTAAAAATCCGTGTACTATTGCTGCCCCCCCTAAAAAACCCTGGCTCCCCATGTCCTTATTTACCGTATATACCTGTGTGTAGTTCGAGTTTTTAAGACCAAATTATTTTGCAAAAAATTGGGGGTCGACCTCTAAAAGGGTAATAGTTTCGTTAGGTTGAAAAATATTTACCAGTAACTACCAGTAAACAATGGAAACGACGCACCAACGCACCACCAGCTGTGAGTGTCGGTACAGTCGCCAGGGCAGATCTCTTGCGTCATCATAGCTAGCCCAAAGTAGCCAAATGCATGGTATGGTATACACAGGACGATGTAAAACAAAGTATTCATTTGTTAAAGTTTATTTATAGATACTGTACATAAATTTTTGTTCATTACATTTGAAACATCAATCTTTGTTAATTAAATTTGATACAAAAGAAAACTACGATACCGTATTTTCATTAAAATATTACATCACAAGTATATTTTACCTTAACTGTTACTGAATGAATATATTCTCAAAAATAAATATGGAAATGTAATATTTTGGCTGAAATGACGTACGTATTACAGTGGAAAGTGATGAAAGCAATGACTTGCTTTCTTTCGTTCAAAAGATGTTACCGTAATCGCTTTTCGAATGGTTTTCAGTTAAAAAAACTGTTGCATCACAAGTGAATTAGGATAGAATATTATTGTAATACAACAGTTTTTTAACTGAAAACCATTCGAAAAGCGATTACGGTAACATCTTTTGAACGAAAGAAAGCAAGTCATTGCTTTCATCACTTTCCACTGTAATACGTACGTCATTTCAGCAAAATATTACATTTCCATATTCTCAGAAATAAATAGTAGTTTTGCTGAAACGTAATGCATTTCAATGTAAATTAGGATAAACTACATGAAAACAAAAGACTTTACCTAGCCTTCCGATGTTCAAGATATGTTACTCGTTTTTTTAGTAGTTTTCGGTTAAAATACTGTTATATTAGTGATATTCTATTCATACTGTGCTTGATATAATACATTCACGGAAATGTAATATTTTTGCAACTACAATGCTGATGTCAACACAAGCGTGGTTACAGCGAGACTGACTGAGTCAGGGAGAGCTATGCGTGTGTGTGTGAGGTTGCGGGAGCGGGCGGTGTCCCGTGTTCGGTGCCGCGCGCGATTTGAATGTACTTCAATTACTTCAATGTACAGAATATTCCTCCGGCGGGGCAATCCGCGTATTTGCGAATCCGTGTATGCTAAACCCGCGTATGTGAAGGGCCGACTGTATTCTCTCATATATTTTCTACTGTATTTTGTCCTTAACTATGGCCTCTAAGCATTCATTGAGTGCTAGTGATAAAAGTGAAAAGGGCAAAGAATGTAATGACAATAAAAAAAAAGTTAAAGTGCTTGATAGACTAAACGCAGGGAAAGTACAGTAAAGCCTTGAATAACAACGGTAATATGTCCTGTAATATTGCAGCATAAGGTGAATCGTCGTATCGTGAATCATTAATTATAATTAAAATGAAGCAATAATAATAAGATGCATTCCATAGTGGGACCTTTTCATATATGTTGCGTGGCTTTTTACCCACTTTTCCACCCAAAAAAGAAAATCAATTAAAAGTAAAAACTATAATCTTTTAAAAAAAAAAGAATTGTTATTAATGCACCTTATACAATATAATAATTAATAATATGTACAGACAGACCCCGACTTACGACTGCTACGACTTACGACCGTCAGGACTTACGACCGCCTCAGATTTTTTATTATTATTATTATTATTATTATTATTTTATTATTTATTTTTTTTTTTCAAATGACACACGCATTTTCTATACCGAAACGTTTCCAGTTAATGTAGTCTCCATGTATAATAAGAAATTATAGGGGCCCCATGCATTCAGCTGACTACATTAAAGGTAAGTGCTCCAGTCACACATAACCATTCCTTATTATTTATTACTTTCACTGTACTGTATCCATTCCTCACTATTCTTAACTTTTACTGTACTGTATTTCCATTGTGGTTATTTATTTAAAAAACAATTTTTTTTTTTTTTTTTTTTTATTATATCTATGTCGGACTTACGACCTGGTTTGGATCCTAACCCGTCATAAGTCAGGTCTGCTCTATGTTACTGGAGAGCAGGATGCCATTGTTGTTATCGGTGTCTACACCCATGACGATGTTTCTCCATCATAACTGATTGTAGCTGTAGTAAAATTAATGGAAAAATATATATCTTTTAGTGTGGCATTAAAGTAACCTCTGATAGTAAAAAGAAAAAAAGTGAGACTGATAGCAGAAGTAAAATTATGAATGAATGTAAAATTTGATCGGTGATTGGTTACTTAGTTCCCCATTGCTTAATTAATGGTTGGGCTTTGTTGTTTCGTATTATATTATACTACGTATTATAGTAAACAAATGGCCTTGAGTTGCCAGCTCATTTTTCCCAATTTTAGAAAATTGTGGGTGGGGGGGTTTTTTCCCATTATTTCGTTACTCCTAAATTCATTGGTGCCAGAATTAATGAAATCCAACATGTTCTAGGGGTCGCGAATCCAAATATAAAAAATGAATTTTTGCAAAAAAACGTCAAAACTCAAGCTTTTTCTCTTATAGATCAGCAATCGCGCTGCTTTTCATTACTTAACCCTAATGGCTGGCTAGAGCAGCTATTCAGCTTTCCATTGACACCTAATTCGATTGCATGCACCTCTTAGTTGACCTTCTAGTTCAGGTCAAAGGTTTTACCTGCGTTAAGGGAACCAGATTCCAAAATATTCATAGTTTTGACTTTTCCATTTATTCGAAAACACATATCAATATTTTGCCGTCACAGTCTTTTCCATGATATATTTCCCTCTTAAAAAAACAAACATCATTGAAATAGGTCAATAACTCTAGGAGGAGATGCAATTTGA